AATTATTATAGAATTAATTTACATTAATTTAATAAATATATTTTATAGAAATTTAATGTGTGTGTGTGTGTGTGTGTGTCTGTGTGTGTTCTCTTCAAAGAGAGAGATAATATTTATTATAAAATCATTTTTTTACGAAAAATGAAATATACATTATATTTGCACATTACATTACAAAAGACATAGCGTGTGTTTCAGGATGTAAAACAGGTTAATATAGTCACCATTTTTCCAATACGGTTACCGCAACGCCCTATTTGCACGTGCACAATTTCTCTCATTGTGAATATATCAACTGGGATAATTTTGAAATTTGAATCAAAGAATTGATAATTCTTTTAATCTGAACAACTACATTTTTGTTTCTAATTTTACAATATGATTAAACATAACATGTTATACATACAAAATTTCAATATCGTGCAAACTAAATGCTACGCTCTACGCTATCTTAGTATCGATAATAGTATCGATACAGATATCGTTCGTAAATATCGATCTCAAGACAATTAGAAGCTAAAAGTAGCATCATTTTTTTTTTAATTATATTTTTCTTTTTAATAATTTTTATCTTTGTAATAATACCTCTAATTTTTAGGATAAAATATCGCTGTGGTCTTTCAATCTGTCTTACACCAAACAATCTTTTCTTGAATCACACAATGCGCGATCTGTCAAAACATTTTTGCAATCACTTTTGTAATATTTATTATCTGACCAAATCATAATTTCTATTGTATTGCTATAATTTCTCGAAAACATTGTTAGGTTGATGTTGCAGCAGAAATCGCATTAAAATCGACACACCCGGATTTGCCCAGCATTTTTGCTTGTCGCAGTTCGGAACGGCTCAGGCAATAACACGCGTTCTCCGTTATTGCACGCAATAATAAAGTGTTTGCCCTCGCGGGGCACCGATGAGATAATGCGCAATCGCCAATTTTTGCCGAGGCCTTGGCTTCATCAATGTCAGTTGGCCAGAAGGACGATATGGAGTTCGATAACGAGAATCGCGTCTCTAAAAGCCTGCGAATACTCGTATTTAAGAGACGCGTTATTTATCACGCTATATGGACAATGTCATTAACAGATACAAATGATACTGTCGACAGCGCGAGAAGTAATTTGTGTGTGATTCCTAAACGATCGGAATATAGCGTGCTTAGAATAAGTCTTTAATTAATTTGCGGCCATGAAACTTATTCCATGTTTCTGCCACAACATATTATTTATTGTAAACTTCACAAAACAGTACAAATGGTCGAAATCTTTTCTCAAAATGCGTGTACACAAACGACATACAAAATGCTGTAAAATATTAGTAAAAAAAGCAAAAGTAACATATACAAAAGAAAGAATCGTCAAAAAAGTTAAGTCCGTATTAAGTTCCTCTCTTTCTTTTACTTCTCCATTTCTTCCTCATCTATTTCATCATCCTCAACTGTCGCGTCTTGATACTGTTGATACTCCGATACCAAGTCGTTCATGTTCGATTCCGCCTCGTTGAATTCCAACTCATCCATGCCTTCGCCGGTGTACCAGTGGAGGAAGGCCTTCCTCCTGAACATCGCCGTGAATTGTTCGGAAATTCTCTTGAACAATTCTTGTATGGCCGTGGAATTGCCGATGAAGGTAGCGGACATCTTGAGGCCACGGGGCGGAATATCGCATACCGCTGTCTTTACATTGTTCGGTATCCACTCGACGAAGAACGAGCTGTTCTTGTTCTGGATGTTGAGCATCTGCTCATCGACCTCTTTCATCGACATTCTGCCACGGAACACGGCCGCCACGGTGAGATAACGTCCGTGACGTGGATTGCAAGCAGCCATCATGTTCTTGGCGTCGAACATCTGCTGGGTAAGCTCCGGCACGGTGAGAGCTCGATACTGTTGGCTTCCTCGGGATGTGAGAGGCGCGAAACCTGGCATGAAGAAGTGCAATCGGGGAAACGGCACCATATTCACCGCGAGCTTCCTCAAATCAGCATTCAATTGGCCGGGAAATCTATGATTATTTACAATAAATAGCTTGTATATTTATTACTTATCAATTTACACACATCATTTATATATATATCTATTATATTGCGATAATTTCTAGAAAGCATTGTTTGGTTGATATTGCAACAGAAATCGCATTAAAATCGACACTCGCGAATACACATTGGATCTTTTTATATTTATTTATGATATAATTCAATAACTTTTATACAACAGACCTTAGACAGGTTGTCACACCAGACATGGTAGCAGAGACTAGATGATTCAGATCACCGTACGTGGGTGTAGTCAATTTTAAAGTACGGAAGCAAATGTCGTAGAGCGCTTCGTTGTCGATGCAATAAGCTTGATCCGTGTTCTCCACCAGTTGATGAACCGACAGGGTGGCGTTGTAAGGTTCTACAACGGTGTCGGAGACTTTCGGAGAGGGTACGACGGAGAAGGTGCTCATGATCCTATCCGGATATTCCTCTCGGATTTTCGTGATGAGCAGAGTGCCCATTCCGGATCCGGTACCACCTCCCAGCGAATGCGTTAATTGAAAACCCTGAAGACAATCGCAGCTTTCCGCCTCCTTCCTCACTACGTCGAGCACCGAATCGACCAGCTCGGCGCCCTCGGTATAGTGACCTTTGGCCCAGTTATTGCCGGCCCCCGATTGCCCGAACACAAAGTTGTCAGGTCGGAATATTTGCCCGAAGGACCCCGAACGCACGGAGTCCATCGTGCCGGGTTCAAGGTCCACCAGAATCGCGCGCGGTACATATTTCGGTCCGGAGGCTTCGTTGTAGTAAACATTGATTCGCTCCAGCTGAAGATCCGAATCCCCGTGATAGGTGCCTGTAGGATCGATGCCGTGCTCATCTGAGATCACCTCCCAAAACTATACAAATTGTTAGAAATAATTAAATGTCAAATTAAATGGTATTAAATATCGAGAAAAAAATATAAGCATGATAAATGATAAAATAGAAAGATAAGTTTATTAATTCAGAAATGATCATAGAGCGATTGTGTATATTTAATTAATAAAGCCTCTTTTTTTAATCGTTATACCGATTATTTCCAAAAATTAACTTTGAATTTTTAATATGTCTTTTAACAAATATTTAAAAAATGGTCTCTAAACGCGATAAATATTTCAGTAAGTCGATAAATCTTTGAAATTACTATTATCGCATGTTTTATTTTTTTACGATTACTAACCTTGGCACCAATTTGATTGCCGCATTGACCGGCTTGGAGATGAACGATTTCACGCATTTTGTATCGAGTATCAAAACGTTAGGACAAAATAACTGCACGGGATTCAACGACAATCTCTTTAATGATCGCGGTAGAAGCCGATCCTCGAAAAATTCAAAGATGAGGAACGAGGATATTACGGACTTGCCTAAGATGTCATTTAAACAGAAACAGGCGACTGTTAGATTCTCCTTGGCGACTGTCTGGCCGCCTGTGTAGTTTTCTACTTGTCACAACATTGCAAACCGACGATGTAAATATGTTTTATTTCAGCATTTGTGAGCTATAATGCTTGTAAAATGTGAATCATGCACGGATTGGCAAGGTTTTTCTCGAACGATCTCGTCAAAATTCCCGCATCGATATAGATATTAAGATATTTTATTTAAGCTAATTGAAATCACAACAAGACTTTCTTGTTTAATAAACGTAAGGACAAAATGCAAAATCCACGTCTAATCAAAAACATAAAAAAGTATAGGCGTTACGCTCTAAAGTTCTCACGGCGTTGATCCTCAACCCACACGTATATCAATCACGCACACGCATACATCGCGACGACAGTACACTCTCTTGCAGCACAGAAAAAGAGACAAGGATCGAGCCGTGCCAGTGTTGTCGACAAACTCAGGCAGGTTTTACAAAGGAAGTACATTATAATAAATGGAAAAATAAATACAATGTGCGTGTGTCTATACTGATAATTATATAACACAATGTTTGTAAAGAGAATCAATTTATAAGATTGTCTCTCTCTCTCTCTTTCTCTCGGTTCATTGCGACTTCCGGCACACGTTCACTTCCACTATCACGCTAGACGTTTTCGACCCGACAACCGTCTCGATGTTCGTCAGCTCCTCTCCCTTGGATACGCTTAAGTTCCTCGCCTCTTCTTCTTTTGAGGGCAGCAGGGTAGCTGGCTTCTCGCTCTCCGATGTAGTCGCGACTTCCTGCGCCGCGACCTTCGAGGTAGACGAACGACTACCCGGTCCACCGTTCACCAGATACCTCAACGGCACGGACTCGGATTTGTTTGAGCCTTTTCTGAAGCGCCAACATCAGCTTGGTTAATTAATAAACACGAGAGAGATCATTAATAGAAAAAAAATTAGTCATGATGTTTATCATATTATTTGATAAAATAAAAAAAGAGATACATAATTTTAATTACGCAGAAATTGTTCCGTAAAAATTTTTTCTCTGAACAAAAAAAGATTCTGTTTTTTTTTTCCGTAAAATTGTCATCAGAGTTACTAACTTTGGTATCGTCGGACAGGACCACAACTTGAAATCAGCCCCGAACTGCTCACCCTCCTCGATCGTCTGCGGCAGGTGGATGTTGAGCGTCTCCGGCAGGAATACGGAAGTGAGGGCGCCGGCAACGCTCAGCGAGCCCATCACGATCAGGGGTAAGACTCTCGAGTATACCGCCAAATGAACGATGTAGG